CAACACCCTAATATGGGTTTTTATCATTTCAGCATTTATTTAACTTTGTATCGAGACCTGAAGATGCTTTGCATATTGTAGAAAGCGAAACCGGTCGTCTGATAGTTAAATTAAATTGATTGTGAGTAAGTCTTATTTATTATTTCTTCTTACCTAATTATGGGAAACTTGTATGTTTATAAAAAGAGTTTTTTGACATTACACTTGAATGATAATATTTGATCTGATTATATGTAACTACCTACAGTTAACTTGGCTATATGCCGGTCCTGGCAGCTTGGGTAGCTGCGATATTTATACAACAATAGAGTATTTATAAGATATTATTCAGTTTTACAGCTGTTATTAAAATAACTTTTATAATGAGACACTGGATACAGTATACCTCACGTTTTGTCTTAGTAAACTAAGCAAATTCTCATCAACAGAATCCAGTAAAATCTGGTTAAACCATAGTGAAATGTCAATTAAAAAATTCCGATATTGAGGAAGTAATAACGTATCAAGGACGCATAATTTATAATTTAATAATACCACAAACACACAAAAAGGTAAGAATTTGATGTTAATGTATGATTAACATACCTCCTTTCAGTACCTCCCGCTCTAGAATTAGGAGAAAGACGGTAAACCAAGAAATGATTTACCGTCAATTCACAGAAAACATACTATTTTACAGGTTATATGAGTTTTATATTTGTTTAAAAATTGGATAAAATTTTATACAAAAGATTTCCAACTATTGTTTCATCTTGTTTTGCAACACTCTGCGGAATTTCTTACAAATAAACGTTACATCCTATTAATATTGCGAGATTGCTTCATTATTTCTTAACATTTAAAAAAAAAAATCAACTGAATATTTCTATTATCAAAATAAAGTACATTAAAAGCATAAAGTGATTTTATCGAATTGCAATACTCATTAATGGAATATAAGCAGGTTATATTGGCTATGAACAATAAAAAATTTGACAGGACAGTTGTAGACTGACAATATTGTTTAATATTGTTCTGAAGCTATTGTCTTGTGCATAAACCGCGTACTGTTCGTAGGCTAAAACGAAAAGTTCCGTTAGAGTTAAGTGAACAATAGGTTCTAAATTAATGTGTACAAGTCTATGTCAGAAATAGTCAGTGTTGTAGGCTAAGTTTTTAAAAAAAGGGGTGCATCACTGGATGCCTCCCTACATGTCATTCCAAATTATTGTCAGTCCTATTACTTATTGTCTATTATCTACCTAAATATTTAGGTTTAGGTTGTACAGATAGATTGTAATAAATGTGGGGTTAATAAAAAAAAAAAAAATTTTCTTGTGCATTTTAAAAATACGTTTATTGACGTTTCAAACAGTAAATTAAACAAATTTTGTTTTTTGTTACATAGTGAAAAATTCTTCTAATTTAATTTTATCTGACTTATTTATATTGACAATTCAGACATACATTATGCATTTTAAAGTTGACGACTTTAACATGATATTGCCAATATTGTTGAGTTGCGCTCCTGGGACGACTTTACTTATAAGATAGTTCATTCGATTACATGAAATCAACTTTAACTTAAGAATATCTGTCAGAAAAAAATCATAGCATATAATTCGTCTTTAAAAAGACAAACACATGACATGATGACAGTAAAATTCTGCTGTTAGTGATTCCATAGTAAATTATGAGAGAAAAACCAGGAAAAAAACCTTATAATACTATCCCGACATGGTAAGTATTTGTTCGTGCATTTAGTTTAACTTCAATAAACACCAAAATTCTGATTTTATATGTTTCGTTATTTAAAAAACATAAATGATGTATCCTCTATATGTTACTGACTTACTAATACTGGTATTTTCTTATTTTAGGAAATTCTCATCATTTAGGAATGTGTCCAACAACTCTGATCCATGAGGCCATATTGAGAATACATCATCTACATGCCGTCACCATACTGTGGGTTTTAAATTTTGTTTAGAAATGATATTCGTTTCAAAATCTTCCATTAATATATCGGCTAAGAATGGAGATAAACTAGAGCCCATTGCTAGACCAAAATTTTGTTTATAGAATTAATTATTTAGTTGAAAATATGTATTATCAGTACATAATGTTAATAACTCCATTATATCCGATATGTTTAGTCTTGTTCTAGTTACCATAGATGTTAGAATAAGTGAACATCAGTCTTATATTAAAAATAGAGAATTTGATAGATCTCAAATATGTAAACACGCATGGGATAATGAACATAGGGTTCAATGGAATAATTCAAATAGTCCTGGTAGTCCTCAAAGAGACGAGTGGTAAAAAAATCAAAGAAGCGGCTCTAATTATGCTAAATGAGGCCAATTGTGTCGCAAATTCCTCGGCAGAATGTAGTAGGATCTGGTTACCAATATTGAAAGAGGAAGTTATTAATAAGAAAATACCAGTATTAGTAAGTCAGTAACATATAGAGGATACATCATTTATGTTTTTTTTAATAACGAAACATATAAAATCAAAATTTTGGTGTTTATTGAAGTTAAACTAAATGCACGAACAAATACTTACCATGTCGGGATAGTATTATAAGGTTTTTTTCCTGGTTTTTCCCTCATAATTTACTATGGAATCACTAACAGCAGAATTTTACTGTCATCATGTCATGTGTTTGTCTTTTTAAAGACGAATTATATGCTATGATTTTTTTCTGACGGATATTCTTAAGTTAAAGTTGATTTCATGTAATCGAATGAACTATCTTATAAGTAAAGTCGTCCCAGGAGCGCAACTCAACAATATTGGCAATATCATTTTAAAGTCGTCTACTTATGTATGTCTGAATTGTCAATATAAATGAGTCAAATAAAATTACATTATTAGAAGAATTTTTCACTATGTAACAAAAAATAAAATTTGTTTAATTTACGGTTTGTATTTTGAGAACGATTTCCGAAGTGGAAATTGAAACGTCAATAAACGTATTTTTATCTTTAATTGTGGCTTATTCCTAGTTAAATAGTAATCTACTGATGGTAGTTATGTATTTGCGAGGGAGGACGAAATTCTTATACCAAGGTTTTTTTGGAATAATTGGTTGTATCAAACTGTATTGTGTTGTTGAAATACTACAGTACTTTTCCCAGTGTTCTCTCCAGTTATTCATTTGTTTAGTTCTTGAACAAGCAAAAGCATCTATAATGCAAGGTTGATAGTTGGTAAGTGTTCCATAAACGATGGAATTTTTTGCTAACTGGTCTACGTGTTCATTATATGTAAGTCCTGAATGTGCTTTGATCCACATCAATTGTATTTTTTGGTTGTATTTATTAATTAAAACTATTGCACCGCAAGCTTTATCTACTTACTGTCATGCGCATAGAATGACTTTAGTTTTACAGGATACATGTAAAAAATAAAGAATGTCGTCTTTTTTTTGCCAGTTTAAGCGGATTTCCTTCATTTTTCTCAAGCTCGCCTAAACGGACTGATGTTTTAGACTCGATGTGATTTTAAATATCGGTTAGTTTTCACTGTAGTAGATTTTCGTGAACAGCTTTTGGAAGTTTTTGATTTTATTGCTGAATGTGACGATTTTGAAAGTGATGATATCTTGATCCGTGAAGCAATCGGTTTAAAAACTTTATTAAATGATTACTCTTTTAACATACTTTTAAATATTTTTAAGAAAGTTTTTACCCAAACCGATTTGATATTCAATGTTGTTCAAAATCAGTTAACTGACATTATTCATTCCAAAACTAGAATAACAAAACTATTGCAAAATCTCAGAGATTTTCGTAATTATAGTAATTTTCAGTATATACGCAATGACGTTTTGGACTCGCTTGATATTTCCGAACCCCCGAAAAAGACAAAAAGCATGACACAGAAACAGATCTCGAAAAACGAGTATATTTTGAAATTTTGGATACTATTATTATGCAAATAGATAATCGATTTACGAATTTCGATGATTCGCAAATTTTGATCTCTTTGACGATTCAAAATTTAAAAGTTACGTCAAAGAATTAAAAGTTTTATATGCTGATCCAAATATTTTCGGAAGTTAAGATAAGTTACAGGATATGTATAATTTTATATACTGCAATTCATTACAACAAACTGTTACCGAAATTAATAAATTATTGTCATTAATTCTCTCATTACCACCAACGTCTGCCTCAAATGAACGAGATTTCTCTTGTCTCAAAAGAATCAAAACGTATTGTCGAAACACCATGAAACAAGAGAGAATGTCAAGATTGTCTCAAATGTCAATAGAGAAAAAAACTTTTAAAACCTCTCCAAAACTCTAAAAAATTTAACGATGACGTTATAACCCATTTTGCTACTCCCAAACAACGTAGACTAGAGTTAATTTATAAAAATGTTTAGGTTCTAAATTTATCGGAAAAAAAAGACAAAAAATCTGCTATGATGATTGAAGTCTTTATTAAACGGTATACCTACCTATCTGAGGAGACAAAACATACCTTGCCGACTTTGTCTCTCAAGCCACGAGCCACCACTGCTTTTTAATCGTTAAACGATCTTTCAAAATTTATGTAAACCCAAAAGTTTACGCATAATAATATTGTAGACAACAGCTTTATTGCATAAACAATTTCAATTTTGTTTGTATATTGTTTATATGTTTAATCTTTGCATATCTTCTTTATTACATATTGTTAATTAAAAAAAAAATTTAAATAAATTTGTTAAAGCAGTTTTTAAATATCCGTATCAAAGAATGTTACGAAAAAGGCTTTTATTTTGCTAATTTCTCTGGTCTATAAGGTGTTACAAGTGGTTATTATTATGTCAGTATACTTAGAGTAAATGCCGGCCGGTGGCAAATGTAAAAGCTAAGGTAAAAAGTAGAATATAAAAATCATGTCGAAATATTTGCTGAATATTTTTTTAATTTTACATTTGTTTGTCAACAGTAAATTAAAAACCTGTCTTTTTATAATATCACGTTAAAATGGAGATTTGCAAACTTAAATTTACAATGTATTTACCTGCGGCATTACTCGTCTGCAAAATTGTTTTTGGTACCACAACATCCTTTTCAGGAAAACATAGAAAAGCAGATAAAGTATGTATCTCATCTATGCAATATTCGTTGTTTTCAAAAGACTTATTAAAGTTCGGAACAAACAATTTTCCGTCCTCTTGAACATAGTAGGCATCCTTAGGAACATTATTGTTTAATCTAAATAACAAGCACGTTATATCTGTAATTCTAAACTTTGTTGATTGATCGACAGTTCCCACAAAGAAGGTTTTGTTGAATACCGGTACTATGAAGGGTTCACTTGAATTATTAACTTTGCACTGACTTCCCACGAGGATATAACCAACAGGACAACATTTTCTGATACAGTTTACACTTAAATCACAGTTATCGAAGTTTCTTGAAACGTTGCCCCTGTTTTTGAGACTATCGGCACTTGTAAACAAACAAATAATGAGGAAAATGAGCTCATAGAAACACATTGTAGTTGAAGTCATTGTTTATAGAAGTAATGTGACACCGGTTGTTAGTTTATTATCTCGATGCTGGTACGAAACTAAACTGTACATGCAGGAAAGCTGGATTTTCGAAATATAATAATAATGATTAAAAAAATAGCGAGCGTCAAGAAACGTTATCGAGTGAAAACCACGATAGTCTGTGGGCCAGAGAGCGGCTGATTGCAAAGGTAACGAAACGACGCATGGGAGAAACTGCAAGGTTGTCTTCGGGGAGAGGACGTTGACACTTACGAAAAGTAGAGAAACAAACGTAAAATCGTTGGGTAAGGCAAGTAAATAATTTTGATTTTGCAAAACGCAAATAATACGTTTGTAAGATATAAATAAACTAAATGGTTATAATAAAACAAACGTAAAAAAACTTTAAAATAAAAATTATTAAAAAATTTAACCTGAAAGGGTTTAAAAATTGTAAATGTTTACAGAATTTGTAAACATTTACAGGTTAATTTTTTTTTATAATTTATATTTTAAAGTTTTTTAGATTTTCAGATTGGAAATCAAAACGTCAAAACAAATGTTATTCTGAACCAATTTTCTTGTGGCATTTCAATAGCTCTTCGCTCAATAGGACTTTTCATCAGCCGCAATATTTTTCGTACAGACAGATTTGACAGCTGACGTACCGTATAATACAGGGTGTTTCAAAAAGGTATGTCATAAATTAAATCATGCATTCCGGGGGCAAAAATAAATTGATTGAATCCAACTTACCTTAGTACAAAAGGGTACAACAAAGTTACAGCTCTTTGAAGTTACAAAATAAAAATTGTTTTTTTTGCATTATCTCCTAAACTACTTGACATTTTGTAATAAACATGAACACGTTACTTTGGTGTTCTAAAAGCATTTTTCATACAAAAGAAACAGCAAAATCTAAGCGCACAGAAAAATTTTAAGTACGCTAAACTTTTGAGTACGTTAAAATAATAATTACAAACAGTTCCATCAATAATAGTCAATAATTTGAAGCTATCATTTATTGTGTGAATAAGATTAATATTAAAAATTTTGATATTACAATGGCCTACACATTTCAGGAAATGGCAGATATGCATTTTTAACTTTGGATAAGTTGGATCAGATTAAATGATGATTTCAATAAACTATCGGGAATATCGTAGGTGAATGTCAAGGAAATAGTTCAGCAGCCGCAATGCGTTATGCAGTAAAATACCCCAATCGAAATACACCCGATAGACGATTATTTCTGACCATTGATCGTCGTTTATTGGAAACGGATACATTCCAACCGCAAGTTGCTGGCAATAGGGGTCGTACAATAATGTAATAGCTGCTCAATAATTACAAGGGTAATAGCTGCTCAACTAAATGGTTCCTAACGTAAGGGTTTGAAGGCGTTTGAAGGATCAGTATCAAGATTTACAAGAGTATTTGGAAGAAGCGAATATTGCAATAAGGCAAAATATGTGGTTTCTACCAGATGGCGCTCCACCGCATTACAGTAATGAAGTCCTGGAATACCTTTGTAGGCAGTATCCTGGTCGGTGGATTGGAAGGGGTCGTGACGCACCTATGTCTTGGCCACCTATAAGTCCAGGTGTTAAGTCCATGAACTTTTGCTTTTGGGGGTTTATGAAAGAGAAAGTGTATTCTGTAACAATAGAGGACGAACAACAATTGAGGGTTAGAATAATTGAAGCTGCAAATCAATTTTGTCAAAAAATATGATTTTTCACCGCATTTGTTTTTCTTTATTAAAACGACACCGAATATGTATTGAAGAAAATGGTTTAAACATTGTAATATTATATTTATAGAGGTTATAGACATTTTTTGTACTTGTTAATTCATTTAAGCCATTTATTTAGTTGCACGAAAGTTTTTAAAGGTTAATGAAAAGATCTGTAACTCAATAAAAACTGTTTTTTGAAAAAAGTGATACGAGGCAATTTTTTTAAAAATAATGTGTTAAACTAATGATGCCACAAAATTCATTATATTTAGACGTACTCAAAAGTTTGGGTGATTCAAGGCTGCACACCCCCTTAAACATTTTCTGTACGCTAAGATTTTGTTTCTTTTTATGAAAAATACTTTCAGAAGAATAAAGTAACGTGTCTATTTTTATTAGAAAATGTCAATTAGTTTAGAAGATAATGCAAAAAAAACAATTTTTATTTTGTAACTTCAAAGGGCTGTAACTTTTTTATGTACACTTTTGTACTAAGGTCAGTTGGATTCAATCAATTTATTTTTATCCCGGAATGCTTGATTAATTTATGACATACCTTTTTACCTTTTTACATACCATAATAAACTAGGGATGGAGCATATTGAAATTTTTACATGTAACTTATAGACGACAGAACTGACGTCACATTACTAGCTGCAATGTCCGACGTGAATTTGACAGGTGATTAATTATTTACCGATATTTTAATGTTAAACAGGTAAACATTATGTGTTCATAATATTTTGTTATTGACTATGTCAAGTCAATATTTTAATGTATTCTTTTTGGTAAATTAATAAATTCATTAGTTTTTTAGTATTTTGGATCCAGTCACATCAGTGGCGTGAGATGCACAACTACATACCTGTAAAAAATATGTTTTATACGTTTTTATGTTTTAAAAACTTATAATTTTTTAATTTTACAATGTTACGCGCCATTACAAGAAGTAAAGTAACCGAAATCATGGGGAAAATAGCGACACTGAGATGGCAGTGGGTAGCACATGTAGCAAGACAAGACACCAACAGATGGTCTCATAAAGTGACATTCTGGAGACCTCGAGAAACAAAAAGAAGCGTGAGAAAACCCAAAAAGAGATGGATAGACGATATAACTGCTGTAGCTGGAAACAGTGGATGAGAATTGATTGAGAGAACAATGGATAAATGAAGGCTAAAGAAGAAGAAGAAGAAGACACGCCATAATATATTTATTTAAATGTAAATAACAACAATAATAAATAATTATTGTACATATATTATGTACCAAAAGAATTTTTGTTTACACCACTGGCATCCCGAAAACAAGATCGGCCATTGTTACTAGCTACTTTGGACGCAAATGTTTATTCATAGGTTCCATCCTTGTTATATTTATTATATCGATGGTTGGGCCTGACGGTCAAAGTTTAATTCTGACGTGACTGTCGGTAAGCATTGGATCTGCATTACCGGCCAATGCGTAACTTAGCACAGTTCAAAACCTTAGTCAAGACCGGAACCATTTGTCAACTGGCAGCTGACGTATCTTCTTCTTCTAGTACCATCTCGACTAATGAAGGTTGGCTATAACCATTGCAAATTCTCTCGCGAAGTCTCTATCTTCTGCTTTTCTAAGAGCGTCTGTGAGTTTACATAGGTCCAGTCGCGAATGTTTTTCAGTCAGGATATTTGTCGTCTACCAGGACCCCTTTTTCCATCGATTTTACCCTTCATAATCAGCTGCAACAATTCGACTTATTATTTCTAAGTATGTGCTCCAAATATGCTGTCTTTCGCCTTTTAATGGTAGTCAAAAGTTCTCTGTCTCTTCCCATTCTGTGCAACATCATTTCGTTCGTACTATGATCGGTCCATGATATCTTCAAAATTCTGCTAAAAAGCCACATCTCAAAAGCTTCCAGTTTTCTCATTAAGTCAACATTAAAAGTCCAGGCTTCGATACCATAAAGAAGAATAGAGTGGATATAACATTTTACCATCCGGTATCGGATTTGCAGATTGAGTCTTTGGTTACTCAGAAATTATCTAATCTTCAAAAGGTTACTCTTGATTGCTCTATTCTTGAGCAAATTTCTGATTTCGGATTCAGATCTTTCGTAATCCAGACTTCAAGTATTTCATTTTGTCCACTTGCCTAATATCTTCATTTTTTTATCTGGATCCTTGTAATGTCTTTGCCCCTCTTACTGATAACCATGGTTTTTGTTTTCTTTATGTTTATTATAAAACCGAACTGTTCCCAGTACCACAAATTGTGTTTAGTAACATCTGCAGTCTATCTCACTTTCAGCGATAATGGCTGTATAGTCAGCATAACGGATGTTATTTATATTTTCACCATTTATCTTGATCCATTCTGTATAGTTTTCAAGTGCTTGCGTAAATAACTCTACGAAATATATATTAAATAGTAATGGTGAAAGTACACAGCCCTGTATCACTCCTCTACTTATCTGTTGCGCATCCGTGCTATTCGTGCATTCGATGAGAATATTGTTTTTAACTTTTCGAAAGCTTTCTTATAGTCTATAAACGCAACGAAAAGATCTTTTTGTTTGTCTCGACATTTTTGGGCGAGAGAGTTGTGAAATTATACAGAGCTTCCACTGTTCCGAAGCCGTTACGAAAGCCAAATTGTCTATTACATCCGCTTTGCACTTTCTGAATATTCTTGCATGTATAATCTTTAAAAATATTTTTAATAAGTGTAACGTTAGCTGAATAATCTATAGTCATTACAGTGTTTGGGGTTCTTGGTTTTTGGTAGCGGAACAGAGGTCGATAGCAGCCATTCTGTAGGTATCTCACTAGATTTATATATGTCGTTAAAGAGTATAGTTATTGCACTTAAATTGTCTTCCACTATAAGTTTAATTAGCTCGATATAAAGTTCATCTGACCCAGGGGCTCTACCAGATTTTGAATTGGTTGTAGCATGTTGGACTTCAGATTTTAATATTATTGGAGCTTACTCGTTATCAATTTGTGTTGGTTCGTTCTTGTATCCATGAAAATATCTTCAATATTTTTAGTCCATACTTGTTTTATTTCAATTGGGTTATTAATAGGTTTATTGTTTTTGTCAATTAATCAGTTAGGTGTATTTATTCGTGATTTTTCAGATAATTCTTTTCTTTAGCCTCTTTTATTTTGTTCCTTATTAATTTATGTTTTTCTCTGTACTTATTTGGGTTTTTGTTTCTACATTTTCTTCTTTGTCCCATGATTTCCAGTATTTCTTGAGTCATCCAAGGTTTTCGGCTTTCTGTTTTCTT